TATTCATCAATGTAGTTAATCTATCCATAATTAAAAAAATAATAATTCAAAAATTTCAAATTCAAAGATTTTCGAAATTGATTCGTTTAATTTTCTTTTATGTAAAGATGGAAAGATAATTTTATATAAAGTAAAATCATGAATAGTCTTTTTAAATACTTTTTATTGTAATTCAAGACAATTGATAAGTTCCTTAATGAAAATGAATTAGTTAATAAGTTAAGTTTTTGGATAAATAAGTTCTATTGAGTCAAGTTATAAATCATTCTCCGATTCCTATAAAAATGAAAAATGCAAGCACTTTTTTTATTTTTTCCCAATCTTGGATTTGAATATCTTTGAAGTACTTGAAAAAGATTCAAAATAATTAAGAATAGAAAATTTCATTTGACTTTTTGACTTTGTAATATTTTGATTTTTTATTGTTACTTTCATTTCAAAAGAGATAAGAGCATGTGAATCAGGAACCATTATGTGTTGTTTGGTTTAAATTTTAATATTTTTTAAATCAATCTAATTTAATTGATTAGTAAAATTTTTAAACCAATTCAAGCTACTATTATATGATAACCAAACTAATCTAACTTAAATTGAATCAGTGTGATTCAATTAGATTGATCAGTTTTTAATACTAGTAAATATATGAAATAATACAAAAATATTTTAACATCAAGTAGAAAATATGACTAAAACACATTAACATCCAAATAAGTAAAGATATAATAAAAGGTACAAATTATAAACAAAATTTTCTACTCCTTTACAATTGTAAAAAGTTGAAAAGATCTGAAAATTATTCTTGGTTACATCACTAGAAACACTAAGAATAATAAAAGATAACTTCAAGTTTTAAGTACAATGTAAATAATTCTTAAAGGTTAAAATTAATTTTTTTTCTTAATGCATTGATAATTTAAACCCATCTTTCAAATCTTGTTAAAAAAGAATAAAATTTAACATAGATATCACTAAAATTGATTAAAAGCATTCATAATCAAGATTTAAAACTCAATTGAATATCCAAGAATAGTAGAATATTAAGATTAGTTCTACTATATAATTTTAAGACTTCTAGAATGATATTCTTTAAAAACTTACTTAGGAGAATCA